CCGGCGATAACCCTGGTGTTTTCGTACCCTGAACCTGTGCCTCGGTCTCTGGGTAAGAAAGACTTTTTTTTTTTTTTTTTTTTGAGACAGAGCCTCAAGCTGTCCCCCTGGGTAGAGTGCCATGGCCTCACAGCTCACAGCAACCTCCAACTCCCGGGCTCAAGCGAGTCTCCTGCCTCAGCCTCCCAAGTAGCTGGGACCACAGGCGCCCGCCACAACGCCTGGCCATTTTTTGGTTGCAGCCGTCATTGTTGTTTGGCGGGTCCGGGCTGGGGATTCGAACCCGCCACCTTAGGTGTACGTGGCTGGCGCCTTAGCCGGTTGAGCTATAGGCGCCAAGCCAAGAAAGACTTTTGAGGGGAGTGGAAGGAAAGTGGGAGAAACGCAAGAAGAGGCTCTCAGATTCCGGAATACACCTGGTCCTGTTAAAGCTCACCTCTACACATAAAGTTTTTGTTTTCCAAGTCATTGAACCGGCGACATAGTCTACCGGCCATCTTGGTTGTGGCAACCCTAAGTCTTTTGATTTTTTTTTTTGTTCTGTGACGACAACCAAGAGAATTAGACAAAGCCGCCCTGCCCGAGCTTTTGGAGGAGCCCAGCAATTCCCCGGGTGATGCGCGCCGCCCTCCCGCCCCCAGGTCCAGGGTGTGGGCCCCCGTGAGCTCCGCCTCCTCCCTCGGCCGGCGCTCGGCTCGCGGGTCGGGGAGGGGCTTGGCTGGGCCCCCCGCCGGCCCCCGCCGTGCGGCCCCGCCCCTCATTTAAATACGCGGCGCCGGCGGGTGCGACGAGCTCGCCGCGGACCCAAGATGGCGGCGTGTGGACGTGTACGGAGGATGTTCCGCTTGTCGGCGGCGCTGCAGCTACTGCTGCTCGCCGCGGCCGGGGCCCAGAAACTCACAGGCCAGGGCGGCCACGGCCAGGCCCCGGGGCCCAACTTTCCGTCTTTTGTAGGGCCGGCTGGAGGCGGCGGCCCGGCGGGTCAGCAGCTGCTCCAGCTGCCTCAGTCATCGCAGCTTCAGCAGCAGCAGCAACAGCAGCAGCCGCCTCAGCCGCCGCAGCCGCCTTTCCCGGCGGGTGGGCCTTCGGCCCGGCGAGGAGGAGCGGGGCCCGGCGGGGCTGGCGGGGGCTGGAAGCTGGCGGAGGAAGAGTCCTGCAGGGAGGACGTGACCCGTGTGTGTCCCAAGCACACCTGGAGCAACAACCTAGCGGTGCTCGAGTGCCTGCAGGACGTGAGGGAGGTGAGGAGGTGGGAACGGAATCGGGAGGGCAGGCCTAGTGCGGGCGCGAGGGTGTCGCCGGCCTTGGAAGCTGCTGACGCTGGTCTGCTGCTGCTTTTCTTCTTGGGCTTCTTCTGTGGTACACTCGCTCCTTCTCTCTCCCAGCACCTCACTCTCTGTTGCATCCAGGGACGAGAACCCCCACCTCCACCCCTTCCTTTCCCGGCCCTTATTTACTCTTCCTGTTAACCGGGGTCTGGGACGAGACCTTGGCTCCTGGCCGCTATTCGCCAAGGCCCAGAGCGTGTTTCTATTTGCTCCTGTCTTTTGTGTGATGCTCTATGCAGACTGGCTCCTCGCTGAGAACAGTTTAGGATTTTGCCGTCAGTTTCGACTCGGACGATTTGTAGCAAATCAATTAAACGTAAAAAATGGTTGGCGTACTTAAGCTATTGAAGAATGATCTGCTGTTTTGGTTAGGTAACTTGGGTTCTATTCCGATGTGTATTGTAGTCAGCTGCAGAATTAACTGCCTTATAACCCATTCTTTTGTAATTTGCAAATTCTTATTATTTAACTGGTGCTAAAACTAATACATGCTTCTTTTCTCCTTCATTTCCTTTGGTCAGTTTGTAGTGAACCTCATGTTTAAGGTATTAACTCCAATTAACTTGGAATCCCAGAGCTTGAAAACTTAGGGCAGCATTTGAAGCTGTGTTTGTGATTATTGTGAGGTTTTGCCTTTCTGGGGTCTGAATATGATTTTAACAGTACCTTTAAAAAAAAACTCTTAATTCGGGCGGTGCCCGTGGCTCTGATAGGGTGCCGGCCCCATATACCCAAGGATGGTGGGTTCGAACCCTGCCCCGGACAAAGTGCAAAAAAAAAAAAAAAAAAAAAAAAGCCAGGCGTTGTGGCAGGCGGCTGTAGTCCCAGCTACTCGGGAGGCTGAAGCAAGAGAATGGTAAAAAGAGCTAGAGGTTGCTGTGAACTGTGACGCCTCGGCACTCTACCAAGGGCGATAAAGTAAGAGTCTGTAGAAAAAAAAAATCTCTTAATTCTATTATGTATTATTCACAGTATCTCTTAATGAAATCTTGATTTGATGTTGCTCTGTGTGATTCAGTTAAGTGATAGTGATAATTTCTTCTCTAGATTTAATGCTGCACAAATAAGTGCATTTTTTTTTTTTTGAGACAGAGTTCTCACTATGTCGCCCTCGGTACACAACAACCTCAAACTCCTGGGCTTAAGCGATTCTCTTGCCTCAGCCTCCCAAGTAGCTGGAACTGGCAGCGCCTACCACAACGCTTGGCTATTTTTTGGTTGTAGTTGTCATTGTTGTTTAGCATACCCAGGCTGGGTTCGAACCCTCCAGCTCTGGTTTATGTGGCTGGCGCCCCAGCTGCTGAGCGATAGGCACTGAGCCAGATAAGTGCATATTTGACAATTCTCAAAGTTTGGAAGCAAACATGATAGTAATGCTTTTTTAAAAAGAAAAGATGTAGATATAGAAAATTGGCCTCAAAGGTTGAGAAGTAGAATGAAGCTGCTGCTTGATGCTATTTCTTTTGAGAAATTGTATTATCAGAATTGTTTTAACACGTTCAAGACCATTAGAAGACCCTTGGTTTGTAGAAATTTGCTACTCTTGGTCTCCCTTTAATCCCACTGTGGCATTTGTCTACTGTTCTATGCAAAGGTAACTTAGAAGAGAAAAAGTTATACATAATCAGGAAAAAGAAAGGACGTTTACAGAGCCACTAGAAATGTGAGGACTACATTACTTCTCATCTATACCTTGAAGACTAGGAAGATAATCTGTGGTTATTCTTTGTTTTTGTCTGTCTAGTAAATAAATACATCTAACTTTTTTTTTTTTTTTGACAAAGTCTTACTTTGTTGCTCTGGTAGAGTACCTTGGCATCATCCTAACTCTAATTCATAGCAACTTCAAACTCATAGCAAACTCCTGGGCTTAGCTGATCCTCTTCCCTCAGCCTTCAGAGTAGCTGGGACTACAGGTGCCTGCCACTGTGCCTGGCTGGTTTGTTTCCTATCTTTAGTAGAAACTGGGGTCTTGTTCTTGCTCAGGCTGGTCTGGAACTCCTGAGCTCAAGTGATTCTCTGGCCTAAGCCTCACAGTGTACTAGGATTACAGCATGAACC